CTTAATTAAATATCCAATTTTATCAATTTAACTTCTACCATCTAAGAAGTAATAGAACAGCTTAGTCAAGTTCTTTACCACTTTGTAACAGAAGTTACCTTCCTTCCACTATCAAATAACATGTTCCCTATTTCCCTCTGTGATCTCATCAGAACTAGCCTTACCATCTCTATTATCTAGGATGACTGTCAAGTATCTTCCACCTTCTACCCATTCATTATCCAGTCTCAAAGCCACGCCACATTTTTAAGCATTTGCTGCAGTGTACCAGTGTACCAGCAAATTTTCTTTATACTAAAATCTTGGGCTGATACAACAAAACACCATGAACATGGTGCTGGCTTAATTTATTTTTTCACACTTGTTGAGGCTAAAAGGCCATGGTCAGGCTGCCAGTATGGTCAGGGTTTTGGTGAGGGTACTCTTCTAGGTCTACAGATGGCTACTTTCTTGCTGTGTCTTCACATGGTGAACAGAGAAAGATCGCACTCTCTTGTTTCTCTTATAAGGGCATGAATCCCAATAGAGTAGGGCCCCATCTTCAAGACCTAATTACCTCCCATGTCCAGGTAACATCATATTTGGGTTTAGCAATTCAACATAACAATTTGGCAATGAGGAAAGAGAAGCACAAACATTCAGTTCATAACATGCCTATACATTTATACCTGGACAGTAACCTGGGAAAGAGAAAGCTGCAATCTATAGAAAAAGAGAAAGAAAAGTCAGATTTAGAAAGGGATGCAAAATTTGTTATAAACATTTTGTAGATAATTATGCTTCTAGGTATCTTTTGAAAGATTTTCTAGCTTTTCTATAACTACAGTCAATACTCTATGTATGTTAGTATAACAAAATCAGAAATAGTTCTTTATTCATCTTAAATTCACTCTATCTGTATGTAACACATACATTTTACATTATTTCTATTTGTCAAGCAGAGAAAATTCTTTTCACAGGTTTATCCAGGTTATTGTACAGATTTTCACAGCTCTTTAAAGTAATACACAGGATTGAGAAATTGCTCTTTTACCCATAAAAGGATGGTTTTATTTTACTCTGATGAGATTTAACTACTGCTTTATAGTATAAATATATCAGAGATTAGTCCTAAAAAGTTAATCACCAAAATAACCTATCATCTTTTAAGATTCTAATCCACAAATTCATTTGTTAAAAAAAAAAAAAAAGTAAAGAGAGTTCTTAATAGATACTTAAAAGAAAGCTAGTTATGAAGTATTTGGTAGGTTTTTTTTTTACCTGTGTGCAAGGTCCACAGAAACAAAGAAAAAGATATAAAGAGGTCTCATGAGAGGAGTGATTTCATAGGTATCCTGGGTTTGGAAAGTTGCAGTCTCCATAGGTGTGTTTACAATTAATGAATATTCTCCTATACACAGCGTCATCCACCCAAAGATAAATAATGGAGCGGTGCCTCCTGCACAGCCATACAGCAAGGTCAGTCTCCTTGGGAGCAGATACCACGTTCCAAGACCACATAACAATCCAGCAAGAACAGAATGAAAAACTGCATTGGCTACGTATTTCTTGCCCGGAATTAGAAATCTGACAGTCTCAGCACCAGCACAACTTGTAAACTCATGCTCGTCTTCTTCTGCTAAGACATCTGTGGTGAGCATTCTTTCCACTGTCACTGACTTGGTCTTGGCCTTTACACTTGTGAACTGGACGACAAGCGCAGCAACAAGCATCAGTCCACCTGAAAGGGCCGCTGTGAGATAGTCTTCTAGGACACTTAGTTGATACAGAAGTGTTCCTAAACCACCCAAAACCCATGGCATCAGGAAAAGGATAATCTGATTAACATATATGTAAGGAGGGGCCCAATACCCTAATCTGAGTCGAGGGCCTCCAAGAATAGTCTGTGGAAGGCGCTTCAGAAAGAAGTCCTGCTTGTAATCATTCAGCAGAGGCACATCTGGACTCATCCTTCTCACTGGGAGATTCTCACAGTCATAGCCTTTCCTGGAACCAGCGGTCTCTGAGAAAAAGGAAAAGAAGGCACTATTTGAAAACACCACACTTGAAACATGGAAGGAAAAAAAACCCCACATTTCTATTTTCACTCCTGAATACTTTTAAGGACAGGACTTACCTTTACTTCTGTGGCCAACACATGTATACTTGGTACCAAATTGCTGATTTTGAAAACTCAAAATAAGTAAGTTTTTTTTACAAACATATGCTTCATTACTTTACCTACATCCCCATATTTGAAATTAGATCTTAGCTCATATTTTTAAGATTGCGAGGCCAAAAGTTCAATTGATGGTACTACTATCAATTAAAACCTGCCAGTATTTTGGACATCTCCCAGTGAGTTTTTGTTGACTTAAGAGTAAATGTGGGGGCTGGTAAGATGGCTCAGTGGTCTAAAGCACCTACTTAGAACAAGCTAAGCTAAACAAAGCACAGGGACCACGGTTCAATCCCCAGCACCACATCCAGCCAGCCCCGCCCCCTGGTGGGCTGAGCTGGCCACACACACACACACAAAGTAAATAAATAAATATTTTTAAAGAAAGAGTAAATGTGTTAAGCTGTGTAATGAACACCACTTGGTATAGCACAAAATTTGCCACAGACCAAACAATATGTATATTAACATGATAGTAATGTTTTAATAAAACTTTATAATATTTATCCAAATAGGCTATAAGCCAGACTGACCCTGAGGGCCATCATTTGCCAACTCCACACTATGAAATAGGAATGTCATTTACAATTCTTCTGAGTTGAAATGGAAATAAAAGTAGAAAAATGGAAATACTGTTATTCATATCACTTAATAGCATATTAGGATTTTCCAACAATTTAAAAAGTCAATGCTGCTAAAATAAGTAGCATTTCAATGAACACCCATATAATCATTTCCAGATTTTTTTTCAGCCATCATAAATAGGACTTCATTTATCATTATTAAAAATCTGGATTTTTTTTTTAAATCTGGGTCTTAAACAGACTCTTGGACTGGTGGCTCATATCCATCAGCTTGTTCAACTTTAGCTCCAGTCTCATCTCCAGTAGCCTTTCCAGAATTACTACCTTCATCATGAAGTTCCATGAGTTTTCCCAATTCAAACTTGGGCTTCTTCAGCATTTTTACTTTTTGACGAAGACATCATGGAGAGGGTAGATTGACAAGCCTTTTCTATGTCTTTCCCAATGCTGTCTGGAATCAGTTTATTGACCACTTCCTTCAAGTCATTTGTCTGCACCTCAGAGGTCATGATTTCCATCATCTTCCGGATCTGGCTTCTTCAGCATTTTTACTTTTTGACGAAGACATCATGGAGAGGGTAGATTGGCAAGCCTTTTCTATGTCTTTCCCAATGCTGTCTGGAATCAGTTTATTGACCACTTCCTTCAAGTCATTTGTCTGCACCTCAGAGGTCATGATTTCCATCATCTTCCGGATCTGGTAAAACTGCTGGTGCTGAGCATAAGAGGTCTTCCATACCTGATTGTTGTGTTTTTTTAGTAAAGCCAACTCAGAACAGTCAAAGCAAATAACCATCGGTAGTTTTGACATCAACATGAGCTTCAATCATGGTCTGTCATTTTTTGACCATGGAACACATTTTGTCAAGGGTGAGGTCCATGCCCTGGAAGTTAGTCAGGCAGTTTTTGCCCTGAACATCTTCAGTGATTAGCTTGAATTTTCTAAAGGCAGCTTCATCATTTTGCAGATCAGCAAGGCTCACTTCAAACACACAACCTTTGAGCCCATGAGATGCAATTTTGGTTTCTGGAGTTCTGGTGATGAGTGTTTTTCCAGTATTTCTTATGTTGAACATAACTGGCACCTTCACATCACACCAGTCTTTTTAAAGAAAGTATATCAACCACTTTCTTCTTGGCTCCTTTTTGGCTGCCTTTTGTAAGGCGGTAGTTCTTGCCTACCGCCATGGTGCTGCTCAGAGAGCCAAAAGAGCTCCAGATTGTTGAGTACTAAGTACAAGCTGAAACTAGATTTTAGGTGTCAGAGAAAGCACTTAATTTTATTAGCTATGCTACCATTCGAAGTAACTTAACAATTCATTTTTTAGCTGTTCTGTTGACAGTTTCCAAACTCTACCAGTGTTGCTGGAAAAAGTGAGTCAACAGTAGCCAGTAGCTCAGGAAAAGATGAAATTTCACTGATGTTACCAGATGCTAGAGGAGTAATCTCTAAAGTCTGAAGTGGTGATTATAGAGAACTCATCTTATTTATAGAATGGTGGATGAAGTTTCAAGAACTAGAGAAGATTTTAGTTGAAGATTATGGTACAATAGGTATCTGGGGTAAGCACAGTTGTACATAGCAGGTTGGTTTTAGCACATTGATAGATGTTTCAATTTGATGACAAATCATATCCTTTAGCTAAGTTCAGTGGAAGAGAACAGAATGGCTGCAGTTAGGTCAGAATTTCTCCCTCATTCCCCCTTTAAGGGGAATCACCATTTGAGTCTACTAGGACCGTCAAGTATAGGTAGGGCTTAAGTACATCAAACTCAGATAACCCCTCAGAAGGGGGGGGGGTCTCTCCTAAAGAGCTGTCTCAATTAACCACTGAATTAAACTACCTGCACAGCAACCCATGAGAGAGAGAGAGAGAGAGAGAGAGAGAGAGAGAGAGAGAGAGAGAGAGAGAACACTCCAATAGTGATGATCAGGGCAGTAAATATATATAAAGGACTTTAAGTCCTTTTACTTGTCAAACCACTGTTTCAGTAAACTTGTAAAATGGATCATTAATTCCAGAATTTTTGGCTAGTTCTTTTGACAGTGTTGTTAGACCTTGGAGGGCTTTGGTCATTGTGCCCCCAGGGATGGTATTGCTTGGAATAAAAGTACAGTGTTGGGTTTCTATCATAACAGATACCACTTTTTTCTGTTAGAATCATATCCAGACCAAGTCTATTTTTTTCAGCTAGTTGTTCAGCTAGTTTCGTAAGAGTTCCCCAGGTCTAATGGATAAGCCTTTGTTGATTATAGTAAACATAGTTTATCCAATCTATATCTTTGCGGATAGTGCCCCACCAGAACAGCGAACTTTTAAATCCTTCAGCTACGTGGAGTTGAGTTTTAAATTCACTGGGGACCCCTCATGAGACCCCAATGCCATTCATGCAGACAGCAGGGCCAAAGGAACCTGGGGCTGATTTATTTAGTGGCATCTGACCTCTGAGCAACTATGAAGGAAATAATCAGTTGGACTATAACACAGTTCCAATCCCATCACTGGGAAGTTGGGTACAGAGATTTGTCACATACCCACCATACATTTCCCCATGTAGTGAGCTTCTTGGGCTGTGTTAGGGGTAAGTCAGTGAGGTTTCTAGGGAATGGACATCTTTGAGTATTGCCTACATCCCAGTGGTTTTAGTTCCTTGATGCATACGTTGAACTACTAATTTGGGATGGCCTGAGTGAGGAGGCTGCCAGGTAGAGGGATACTAGGAAGAGCAGAGCTGGAGTCTGACAGGCCTAGTCAGGTCCCTAGCTTCAGGACTGGAAAACAAGGTGATAAGTCATCCCTACTGTTTCCCTACTGCCACTGGGAACAACTGAGAGTAACCAATCCCAAGACTGATAATAAGTATAGCAGTAAACACATGTATTTTTTGGCTTTCTCAGTGTGAGGGTAGATTTAACAGTCCAGAGTCTTACAGCAAAAAGTAAGGTTAGAGGTTTAAGGAGTCCTGGGAAGAAGGGTGAGCCAGTCAAAACTCCCCAGGTCACTGTCCTCAGGCTCTGTGAGGAGGGCTTGGCTCTCTGGAGATGGGGGATGGTCTTCTAGGAGTTGTTTGGATCTGGTGAGGCCTCCCAGACCTCAGTGATGGCAGGGCTCTCCTGATGTGGTGTGATGTAGCCAAGGCTGGACCTCCGCAACCTTTAACAGCTGTGGAATTGAACCCAGTGGGCCCAGGTGAACATGAAATGCAAAGGGCCACAGGAAGGTGGTCAGTCATGGGGCTTTGGTTTCATGGCAGAACATGGTTAAAGTTGTCTTCAAGGTCTGCTTTATCTGTTTTACCTTTTTAAAGCTCTGAAGCCAATAGGAAGCATTTCAGTTAACTTCTTTCTCCTTGCTGCCCCAAAATATCTGACACTCAAAATTAAGGAAGGAAAGATTTATTTAGCTCAGCTTGCGGAGCTATTTAGCTCAGGTTTCAGTTCATATTCAGCTGGCTCCAAGGTTCAGTGGTAAATGGAAGAAGTCAGCAGTTCATGGTGGCAGAAAACAGTAAAACACAAAGGGAGGAGCCAAGCAGTGGTAGACAGCAAGCCTCTCCCTTCTTTACACTGCCTTCAAGCTTTGTGACCTAGGCTGGGGGTAGCACTCACACCCATAATTCGAGCATTAGATCATGAACTAATCACAAAGCTACATGAGGCTTTGGGAGGACACCAAGATATAAACCATAACAGGCAGTATACAGGTTGCATTTTATTTGGAGCAGTATACTGAGGTTTTCAGTTATTCCTGCCACAAAGGCGAGGCTGCTATCACCTCCTATGGGCTGAAGCAGTCTACATCTGAGAATGGTTTCTTGGAGAAATGTTTGATTGACTTTGGAGGACTTTTCTGTTTGGGCAGGTAAAACTTTTATTCAACTAGAGAACATACAGACTAGTACCAGAAAATATCTGTGTCCTTTGTTAGGTTTGACTTCTGTGAAGTCTATCTGTGTATCTCCAAAGGTGATGTTTCATTCAGTTGGATCCTGGGGGGTGGGGTGGGGTGGGGGCTCAGGCCTCTGAGTCAGATAACTTTGAGCACAAGTTTGGCATCTTGGGATAGACAGTAGAGTAGATGCTGGCCAACTGTGGGATATAATAGTAGTGGCCCAGGAGCTTTTCCATGGCTTTTTTTCCCTCCATGCATTAATTGTGGTGTTAAGCCATCTCTGTGGGGCGACAGTTTGTCCATCTTGGAGTGTCCACCAGGAGTTGTGGCCCTTAATGGCTTGTTCTTGTTTTGCCCAGTCATCTTC